TGGCAACTCTGGACCGGGTTCCGCTAGGAGGGCTGCGGTTCTTCAATGGGGAGCCTCGGTGAACCCCAACTAGGGTCCGGGAAGAGACTGCACGCACCCCTTTCAGCCAGAAGAGGGGGATGCTTGGTCATTTTTATAGGTGGCCGCGGGACCTTGTTTTTGTGGGAGCCACGATTTGGAAGTGGCCTTATTTTTTCACTTGCCTTATTTTTGTCTCGAACAGCCTTGTCTGACGTCTGCTCTGCGAGGCTGCTGACATCTGCAAAAGAGAACCAGGCCCTCGCTATGGGTACTGGGTCCACTCCCAGGCTTGTCTTTCTCAATATCAAAGCATCAGCTTCGTCTATCGTTGAGAGAGCCGCAGGCCTGGGTGTGGCACTGGAGAGCAGTCTGGGGACCCGTGGGCCCTGGGGCTCTTGCAGTTCTCTCTAGGTCAAAGGACACAAGGGCTCACGTCACCTCTAACTCCAGCGGCAGTTCGGCAGTTCGTCTTCAGGAGAAGAATGAATGTTTGCTCATTCGTTCATTCACTCCACAAACACGAAGCATCACCACCTCCCACCCCATTACAGCTGAGTGGGTCATGTGACTCGATGTGGCCACTGAATGTGGAGGGGTCACCACGCGTCCTTCTCCTGCCGTGATCACCACCTCAGTCTGCCCCTCAGAGGCCCAAGGACATGAGCGTGTCCCCAGATGCTGGGCTTTGGCTCCTGCTGTCTGTAGATTGATCAGGCAGAGGTGAGGCAATCTCTTCCTGCTGGGGTCAGTGCATCAGTCAGCAGGTCTGGGTGAGGCTTCAGTGACCGCCCCCAGGCCCCTGGGGCTTCCACAACGGAGGCTGCCGTCCTGTCCTTTCTTCCTGACCCTCATGGCCCTGGCTGTATGTGGCCACCGCGAGTCCTGCTGGGCCCGGGCCAAGGCCAGGTTGAGTCACAGGGCCTTTCCAGAGCCCTAGGGTCAACAGCACCAGAAATCAATGTGTAGTGAGCTGCGGGTCACCCCATCAAGCCAGCACACAGGTGGCTTCCAGGCTGGGTGAGGGCATGGGAGCTCATGCAGAAGGAAAGCGCCAGATGCACCCATGAGTGCCAGGGAAGGACAGCCACACAGCGGGGACTGTGTTCCAGCAGCCCCTGTAGCCCTGCCTGGGGAGCTTTAAGACGCACCCTGCCCTGTTTGTGGCCTTGGGGCTTCCTGGGGCATCAGAGAGTGAGGCCAGAGGTCCCCCAGTGCCCAGCACCTGAGGTCGGCGTGCTGGTGGCTATATCACAGGGCTGGTGCCAGTGGGGGCCTCAGGGACTGAGCTCCCAGAGAGCTTCCCATGAGAGGCCGGCTCTTCTGGGGCCCATTGTAGAGCACCCGGCCTCTCTCCTGCTGGGCCTCTCTCCTGCTGGGACCGCTCTGGTCTCTGCTGAGCTGCAGTGGGGTGCGCAGGGACTGGGGGCTCTGATGGACGCAAGGGGCTTCCTGTCCTGTGGCCTACACCAGAGCACCCTCCCTGGACAGAACCTTCCTTTACTGCAGGAGGTTCTGGAGTGTGAAGTTAGAAAACTGCCCTTCTGGAAGCGGGGCACAGTGGCTCACACCTGTAGTCCCAGCACTTTGGGAAGCCGAGGCAGGTGAATCATGAGGTCAGGAGATCAAGACCATCCTGGCTAACACGGTGAAACCCCATCGCTACTAAAAAAAAAAAAATAAGCTGGGCGTGGTAGCGGGCGCCTGTAGTCACAGCTACTCGGGAGATTGAGGCAGGAGAATGGCGTGAACCCTGGAGGCGGAGCTTGCAGGGAGCCGAGATCTTGCCACTGCACTCCAGCCTGTGCGACAGAGCGAGACTCCATCTCAAAAAGAAAAAAGAAAAAAGAAAAGAAAAAGAAAAAAGAGGCCAGGCACGGTGGCTCACACCTGTAATTCCAGCACTTTGGGAGGCCGAGGCAGGCGGATCACGAGGTGAGGAGATGGAGACCATCCTGGCTAACATGAAAACTACAAAAAATTAGTCGGGCGTGGTGGTGGGCGCCTGTAGTCCCAGCAGCTCGAGAGGAAAATGGCGTGAACCCGGGAGGCGGAGCTTGCAGTGAGCTGAGATCACGCCACTGCACTCCAGCCTGGGTGACCAGTGAGACTCCATCTCAAAAAAAAAAAAAAAGAAAAAAGAAAACTGCCCTTCCTTGGAGACAAAACCAGTCCCTAGGAATTCCCGCCTTTGCACGTGTGCTGGTGGAAACAGCACTACAGGGCAGCAGAGGCTGGGTGTGGGGCTGGGGTAAGGGGACGGATGGGCCTGTACCCGCTGGCTCCTTCTAATCACTTTCAATCCAGTGAGCTCCTTAAAAATCAAAGCTCTTTGGAATAAAAGGAGGAGGAAACAATCAAGATCATTTTACTCAAACACAGGGAAGTGATCTCATTGTCATCATCAATATTCTCTCCCTTCACTTTTTTTCATTAAAAAAAGAAACTATGTTGGAACAGCTTTAAAGTTACACAAACCTTGAGGCGCTAGTCCAGAACTGCCGCAACCCCACCCAGCCCTCAGGCCGCCATGGACACCGTGGTTATGCCAACAAACCTGCAGACACGCAGAGTTTCAGCCAACGAGCCAGATTTTATTCAGATTTTCCTTTCGCTACCGCCCCTCTCTGTCCCGGGATCCACCGGGGTCCCACGTGACACTTCATGGTCGAAGTGCCTCAGGGTCCTCCTGGCTGCGAGTTTCTCAGACCCCCCTGTAGGGCGGCCTGACAGCTCCCGGGAGGAGGGCTCAGGCACTGGGCAGCCTCCGCTGGGACCCAGCAGTTCACTCCTGGAGAGGCTGGGCTGTGGGTGGGGGGAGAAAGCCCCGGTGTGGGGCACCCACCCAGGCAAATCCTCCCTGAGGCGCCGGCCTGGGCCAGGGGCCAAGGGGCCATCAGGCTGCCCCTGTGTGGTGACCCCTCATGTGGTACCTGCAAGAGGAAGTCACCAGGCCCAGCCCACACTTCAGGGGGGTTACCTCCCACAAGGGTCTTCTCCCACTTTCCAGCACCACCATAATTGTCCTGTGGCTCTGGCCCTGCCCAGCGGCCCTCCGTCCCCTGCTCTGAAGCCCCCAGCCTCCCCCCGGCAAAGTCCCCCTTCCCAACCCACCCCGCACCTCCAACAGTGCCCCTCTGCCCTCCCCATCTTCCTGCTCCCTTCCCTGCTTCCACCTTCCACCCCTACCCAGATCCCCAACCCCCGACCTGCCCTGACATTCCCCACCCAACACCCCTTACCCCACCCCTCAGGTTTCCTTCTCTCCCCCACAGCTGCCCCCCAAACCTGGGGCTCCAGACTGAGCTCCCAAGCCCGTCTCCTGAACGTCCCTCCCTCTATCCCGCCAAGAGGGCCACCTCCCCTGAACACCCCCATCTCCTCACCATCTACCTCCACCCCCACTCACATCCCGCCCCACCCTGAGCTCCCTAAGGCCCATCCCCACCCCATTCTCCACCCCTATCCTGCCCTAAAGGCCACTTCCACTGAAATCCCCATCCTCGGCCTCACATCCCCATTCCTACTTTCACCCAGTCCCTACCCTAGCCCTGAACCCCGCCCCAACCCCTGCCCCTGAGTGCCCACCCCCAACCTATCATCACCCCCATCCCGCCAGAGGACCACTTCCCCTGAATGCCCCCATCTCCAACTCACCATCCACCCCCACCCCCACTCCCTTCCTAATCCCCCAACCGATCTCCCTAAGCCCTGCCCTCCACCCACCCACCCTGCCCTGAGGGCCACCTCCACTTGATCCTCATCCACCTCCCCCCAGGGGGCGAACTCCACCCAACCCCCAGCTCTGCCCTACTCCACCCCTCCACCCCTCCACCCTCATCCCTTTCCCCACCCCCGCCCCGAAGCCCACCCCATGACCTTCCTAAGCCCCACCTCTGAGCACCCTGCCCCAACCCCACAGCCACCCCATCCTCCACCCCACCCCAAGGGCCCCCCTCTACTGAAACCCCCCTCATCTGCTCCATCCCCAGTCCTCCCATCTCCACCCCTCCCCTGAACCCCGTCCCCACTGAGGTCCCTAAACCCCACCCCTCACTCCACCCTGAGGGCCCCATCCTCTGCACCCCAATCCCCCAGCCCCACTGAGCTCTTAACCCACCCCACCTGAGGATTCCCTTTCCCTGCCCCTCCCCCAGCTTCCTAGCTCCCCACCCCAAGTGACCCCCAGCAGCTCCTCGCCCCTCCCACTGCACACCGGCACTGAAGGGCTGCCCCGCCCCGCGCCCCTCCCGCCCCCGCGGGACACGCCCAGATTCTTCGCCCCCACAGCCTGGTGCCCTCTGGCCTCCCGCTGTCCCAGGTGGGCCTGGATCCTTCCAGCTCATTCTTTGCCTGCGCCGTCCCTTGTTCCATGGCTCAGTCCTCCCCGGGGACCCTGAGCCTGGAGGCCCTGGACCGCTGGAACCTCGAGCCCACCAGCTGGCTGTACCCGGAGCCGTGGCAGCAGCCCTGTGAAACCTGTGAGTCTCTCTTCCACTCCCTGACTGTCCTGCCTTCAAGGGTGCGGCTGGCCAAGACCATCCCCAGGGGTCCCTGCTGAGCCTGGGGGACACTGTGGGTGGCTGGAGCATGGGGGTCTCTGAGGGGTCGAAGGCTGGCCCCAGAGGCAAGCAGGGGCTGCAGCGGCCATTGGCCCTCCGTCCTCATGAGGCCCCTGCCCTCCCCTTTCTGGGGTGAATTGAACCACCCGTCTTCCATGTTGTAGCAGGGCCAGGCAGGTTGGGGGCACGCCTCAGGGGACCCTGGAGCCCCTCTCAGGGCTGGCACTGGCTTTGGCTGTCCTGCCCCTCATCCCTGGGTTGGGCAGGTGGGTGTCACTGTGGAGGTGCAGGTGGCCTGAGCTAGGCAGGGTCTGCTCAGCAAGCTGCTTCCCGTGCTGGGGTGCGTCGGGGATCTGAGCAGGGGCTGATGGGTTTCTCACACCTGTGTTCGCGTGTCCTGTGTCCTGACGCGGCATCCCCATGGCGGCCATCCCAGCCTTGGACCCAGAGGCCGAGCCCAGCATGGATGTGATCTTGGTGGGATCCAGTGAGCTCTCAAGCCCCGTTTCGCCCAGGGAAGGCAGAGGTGAGGGCATATCTGCTTATTGGACCAGTCACTTAGGATGATGACCCCAGGCCTGGACGGGGTCTGGAGTTCCAGGCTTCTGTAGTATTCATGCATTATTCAGACACCAAGACTGGGGCAGGAGATTCCCCACCCACAGCCTTCCCCCAGGCATAGTCATTTAAACACACCAAGATAAGGTGGGAGGGCGGGATGGCAGGGGACCTCAGGCTCCTGTGACTTTGGAAAATGAATGTGTGATGCTCACCTCCGGGCCGATTTTAAATGAAGAGATCAGAGGAAGAAGAAAGGGGCTACTTCTTATCTTCTTTTCCAGATCTGATTGCATATGAAGTCAAGGTTAACCATCGAAATATAGAAGGTGAGTATTTGCATGCTTGCCCCCACCAGGCAAAAGAGGTGGGGCACAGTGGCTCACACCTATAATCCCAGCACTTTGGGAGAACAAGGTGGGAGGAGCATTTGAGCCCAGGAGTTTGAGACCAGCCTAGGCAGCATAGTGAGACTCTGTCTCTACAAAAAAATTAAAAATTAACCAGGCATGGTGGCGCGCACCTGTAGTCCCAGCTACTCAGGAGGCTGAGGTGGGAGGATTGCTTGAGCTGGGGAGGTCGAGGCTGCAATGAGCTATGATAATACCACGCACTCCAGCCTGGGTGACAGTGAGATCCTGGAAGAAGGCAGTGGACGCCACTGTGCCACGTGTATCCCTTCTCCCCGTCCCAAGGCCCCTGTAGCTTTGTTTAAAGCATACAGTTCAAAGTATTTTAGTTTATTTACAGAGTCAGCAACCATCATCACCATCTAATTTTAGAAGATTTTCATCACCCCCAAAAGAAAACCCATATCTAGTAACAGTCACTCTGAATTCCCCCTTCTTGCTTCCCTTCTTTTAACTCTAGGCAACCACTCCTCGACTTTCTTTCAACATGGGTTTACCTTTTCTGGATCCCTTGCATTTCCATATGAATTAGGATCAGCGGGTCAACTCCTGCCAAAAAGCCAGCTGGGATTTTGAGAAGAGTCTGCAGATCCATTTGGGGACTCATGCTATGTTAGCAATATTAGTGGTTTTCTTTTTTTTGAGACAGAGTCTCACTCTGTCCCCCAGGCTGGAGTGCAGAGGCATGATCTTGGCTCATAGCAACCTCTATCTACCAGGTTCAAGCAATTCTCCTGCCTCAGCCTCCCAAGTAGCTGGGAATACAGGCACCCATCACCATGCCGGACTAACTTTTGTGTTTTCAGTAGAGACAGGGTTTCACCATGTTGGCCAGGCTGGTCTTGAACTCCTGACCTCAGGTGATCTGCCCACCTCAGCCTCCCAAAGTGCTGGGATTACAAGCATGAGCCACCATACCCAGCCAATATTAAGTCTTCTGATCCATGAACATGGGATATCTTTCCATTTTGTTCCATCTTCCTTAACATCTTTCAACAATGCTTTGCAGTTTTCAGTGTGTAAGCCTCATACTTGTTTGGCTGAATTTATTCCTAAGTCATCCGCTGCATTTGACGGCACTGGGAAAACACGTTGTGTTTTTTTTTTTTTTTTTTTTTTGAGACGGAGTCTTGCTCTGTCACCCGGGCTGGAGTGCAGTGGCCGGATCTCAGCTCACTGCAAGCTCCGCCTCCTGGGTTTACGCCATTCTCCTGCCTCAGCCTCCCGAGTAGCGGGGACTACAGGCGCCCGCCACCTCGCCCGGCTAGTTTTTTGTGTTTTTAGTAGAGACGGGGTTTCACTGTGTTAGCCAGGATGGTCTCGATCTCCTGACCTCGTGATCCGCCCGTCTCGGCCTCCCAAAGTGCTGGGATTACAGGCTTGAGCCACCGCGCCCGGCCTAACACGTTGTGTTTTGAATGTTTCCTTTAGACATCTGTCTCTGCTGCGGAAGTCTCCAGGTTCACACGCAGCACCCTCTGTTTGAGGGAGGGATGTGCGCCCCGTGTAAGGTAGGCAAGGGGACTGGGTGTGACTCCCTCATGGCCTCAGAGCAGGGGTGACACAAGCCAGCCTTGCTTTGCTCCTTCCAAGGACAAGTTCCTGGATGCCCTCTTCCTGTACGACGATGACGGGTACCAATCGTACTGCTCCATCTGCTGCTCCGGAGAGACGCTGCTCATCTGCGGAAACCCCGACTGCACCCGGTGAGGCGAGGGGCCTGCCCAGGGCGGTGAAGGGGCTGAGGACACACCCATCCTTTCAACTACTCATTCTGGAGCGTGGGTGGATTTTCCTCCCAAATGGATGATTTCCCTGAGAGCTTCTGATTTCTGTCTCAAATGTGTCATTTGGCATAGAGCCCTCAGCGATGGGAGGCGGGTGTCTGTGGTTGGCAATTGTGATTTTTGTTTTCAGTATTGGTATTGCCACATCACTGTGCAGGGGAGCGATGGAAACCCCGCAGCCCAGGCTGCCAGTCATGACCGGGGTGACAAGGGGCATGTTCACCCCTCATTTGTTACTCCCCTGCCTCGACTCCCTCCGTGGGCTCCTCCCCTCGGTCCTTCTGGGCCATCCTCGTATTTACGGCTCCCCCCGCCTCAAGTTCTCTCCTCCAGCTGGTGTTACTACATTTGGTTTTGCTGGGAGTCCCACCCTGTTTCTGCAGGCTCGAGTTTGGGGGCAGACAGGTGCCTTAGGGGCTTCCTTGGATCTGTCATTGCCTGCGAATCCATCTCCCTGTCTTCTGTACCTGGCTCGGCTCCTGTCACTCTGTGTCCCTAGGAAGGACCGTGTCCCCCTTCCCAGTCCGCCACCTGGTCTTCCCAAAGGGAGCTCCAGTGTGACTTTTCCCTCCAAAACAGGGCTCAGCCCCACCTCCGCCATCCTCGGCATAGGCAGGCTGTCATGTCTGCTGCTGTGGTTTTCTGTTCGACCCTAGGTGCTACTGCTTCGAGTGTGTAGATAGCCTGGTCGGCCCCGGGACCTCGGGGAAGGTGCATGCCATGAGCAACTGGGTGTGCTTCCTGTGCCTACCCTTCTCCCGAAGCGGGCTGCTGCAACGCCGGAGGAAGTGGCGCGGTCAGCTCAAGGCCTTCTACGACCGAGAGTCGGTAAGGAGCCTGCGGAGGGGCAGGACCCGGCGGCAGCAGGCCCTGGCTTACGGCCTTCCTTCGGTTCCTGCTGCAGAACGCAGGCGCGCCGACGGGCACCACAGCTGCAGGCTTGGGAGCGAACACTCTTTGCTGGCTTCCTCTCCGATAGCGGCTTCCACTCGATGGTGGCTTTGGGTAAACTGGCATGGCAGTTTTGTTGCTTCTAAGCCTAGGAACGAGGCCCTGGTCGCAGTAGGAGAGGGGCCAGGAGAGGGTGGCTGGCAAGTCCTCAGCACGTCTCAAAGTCCAGTTCTCAGGAGCAAACGCCTGGGCCTATGCTGGCCAGGGGTGGGCCCTTTTGGGAGTCCAGCTGAGAAGCCGGGGGGGGCCTGGCAGGAACCGCAGACAAAGGCGGAGAAGATGGAATTGTGTCCCTCTGAGAGGTACACCGAAGTCCCCAGCCCCATACCTGTCAATGTGATCTTACTGGGAAAGAGCGTTTTGCAGATGTTAAGAGTTGCGAGATGAGATGATTCCAGATCTAGGGTGGGCCCTCAGTGCAGTGGCTAGTGTCACTGTAAGAGGTTTAGGAAATGGAGACGGGGAAGACAGCCACGTGATGATGGAAGCAGAGACTGGAGTGAGGCATCCACCAGCCACGGGTGCCAGCAGCCCCAGGAGCTGAGGGAAAGGCCTGGCATGTCCTCGCCTGGCACCTTCTGAGGGAGGCATGCCTGCCGGCACACCTTCACTTCAAAACCTCTGGCCTCCTGAGCTGTGAGAGAATAATTTCTGCTGTGCTAAGTCCCCTGGTCTGTTTTTTGTTTTTTTATTTTTGAGATAGTGTTTCGCTCTTGTTACCCAGCCCAGAGTGCAGTAGCACCATCTTAGCTCACTGCAACCTCAGCCTCCCGGGTTCAAGCAATTCTCCTTCCTGCTTCCCGAGTACCTGGGATTACAGGCACCCGCCACCATACCCGGCTAATTCTGTACTTTTAGTAGAGATGGGGTTTCACCATGTTGGCTAGGCTGGTCTCCAACTCCTGACCTCAAGTGATCCACCTGCCTCGGCCTCCCAAAGTGCTGGGATGACAGGCATGAGCCACTGTGCCCAGCCCCTCCATTCTGTTTTAATTTGCAGGCCAGCCATGGGAAGCTCCTACAGAAGGGGTGTGGCCCCCGGTGAGGCAGCCAGCGGGGAGCAAGGGACCCCTGAGCTGAGCATGAAACCGCACTGGCCTCCAGCTCACATTTGTTAAGGTTGAACCAAGTCATCTCTCCCTGCCTAGCAAGCTTCAGCCTGCTCCGATTCGAAGGAAAGGGTCAGATGGGATGGTGTTTTGTAGGAACAGAGCCTAGCGCTCTGAAAGCTGAGGTCCCTGAGTTTTGGGCCCTGGGGGGCTGGCCCTTTAACAGGGAGCAGGTGAGGCCAGAGTTGCTGCCCGCCTGGTCCATCAGGTTGGCAAGGGCAGGGCAACCCACAGGGCCTCACCTGTCCCCGAGGCTCACCTCTCCCCGGTATCTCTGGCCTTGGGGCTCTCTTCTCTGACGTTCTGGAAGCTGCCTGGGTGAGCAAGACCAGCCCGGCCAACATGGTGAAATCCCATCTCTACTAAAAATACAAAAATTAATCGGGCGTGGTGGCGTGTGCCTGTAATCCCAGCTACTCAGGAGGCTGAGGCAGGGGAATCGCTTGAACCTGGGAGGTGGAGGTTGCAGTGAGCTGAGATTGCACTACCTTACTCCAGCCTGGGTGACAGAGCAAGACTCCATCTCAAAAATAAAAATAAAAATAAAAATAAATCAGCAAACCCCTCCACACCTACTGTCTGTTGGCTGGAGACAGCTGGAGGTCAGAGCGGGAGACCAAGGCTGGGGCAGGGGGTGGAGTTGGCCTTCCTCGGGGGCAGTGCTGGTCAGGACAGGCCCAGTCAGGCCTTGGCAGGTGCATCTTAGGTGTGTCTCCGGTGAGTCTCACCTTGAGTGTTCATCCAGGGAATAATTTTCATTGCATCTCAAGGGCTCTGTAACCAAGTAGCTGGCACAATGCCCTGTTTTGGTTTTCTGATAAATAGGAGAGTCCCCTTGAGATGTTTGAAACCGTGCCTGTGTGGAGGAGAGAGCCGGTCCGGGTGCTGTCTCTTTTTGAAGACATAAAGAAGGGTAAGTCAGTGATGTCCCAAAGACACACATGGAAGGATGCCTCCACACACCGGACTGCCCCTCAGGCCACCCCCCTGGGCTCCCCACACCCTCCCCCAGGCCGGCCAGCTGCTGGTGTCCTGCACCCCTCCCCACGCTGGGCCCATGCTGACCCCGCACTGGGGCCTCTGGAAATCCCACTGTCTTCTGGGCCTCGCAGGCACAGCAGAATCCATGAAGACACTCTCTCTCCTCTGGCTGCGTCCGTAAGGGATGAGTCCCCCCGGGACACCCACTAATGCCCACAGTGTCTCAGAGCGGCCTCGTGCGGGAGCACCTATCTGCCCCAGGCAGCTGACCAGCAGCCTGATCTCACAGCGCCCACACAGCCTGCCCAAGGCCTTGCTGCCCAGGTGGGGCTGAGGGAGCCGGGGCCTCCTCCAAGGCCGTTCCAGGGCTCTGCAGCTCACACCTCTGGCTAGGTGACGTCGCATCCCAGAAATGCCTGGTGCTGTAACACAGTGCTTTGACATCCTTTTTGGTTTTGTTTTGTTTGAGATGAAGTCTCACTCTGTTGCTCAGGCTGGAGTGCAATGGCACGATCTGCTCACTGCAGCCTCTACCCCTCGGGTTCAAGCGATTCTCCTGCCTCAGCCTCCCGAGTAGCTGGGATGACAGGTGCCTGCCACCACCCCCAGCTAATTTTTGTATTTTTAGTAGAGATGGGGTTTCACTATGTTGGCCACGCTGGTCTAGAACTCTTGACCTCAGCTAATCCATCCGCCTTGGAATCCCAAAATGCTGGAATTACAGGCTTGAGCCTCTGTGCCTGGCCGCGCTTGACGTTCTTAAATCAATACGTGGCGATGTTTGCTTGTTTAAACAGCTTGTTACAAGACAAAAACCTCCATCCTTAATCCTCCTGCCACGTCATTAAAAAGATAAAGTTGGGTGGGGTGCAGTGGCTCACGCCTGTAATCCCAACACTTTGGGAGGCTGAGGTGGGTGGATCATTTCAGGTCAGGAGTTGGAGACAAGCCTGGCCAAAATGGTGAAAACCCATCTCTACTAAAAATACAAAAAAATTAGCTGGGCGTGGTGGCGGCGCCTGTAGTCCCAGCTACTCGGGAGGCTGAGGCAGGGGAATCGCTTGAACCTGGGAGGCGGAGGTTGCAGTGAGCCAAGATTGCACCATTGCATTCCAGCCTGGGCGACAGAACAAGACTCCACCTCAAAAACAACAACAAAAATATAAAGTTGGCTCCTTAATGGTAGGAGGGTCCTTCGATCAGCCGTCAGCCTTGGGTCCTCTGATCAGTCGTCAGCCTTTTCAAGTCCCTGCAGGGGCACAATCCACGCTCACCCTCTGGGCCCTTCTGGTCTCTCCCCATCCAGAGCTGACGAGTTTGGGCTTTTTGGAAAGCGGTTCTGAGCCGGGACAGCTGAAGCATCTGGACGATGTCACAGACACAGTGAGGAAGGATGTGAGTACCGCCGCGCACTCTCGGACGCTGCACTGGGAGCAGGGGTGCGAGCTTCCTCAGAGGAAATGTCAAGGATGAGGTGGGCAAGGAGGCGGCGGCAGGGGCTGGGAGGAGTCCCAAACACACGGGGGCCTCTCGGCTGGGCTTACAGGCACCTGCCACCACGCCCAGCTAATTTTTTGTATTTTTTAGTAGAGACGGGGTTTCACCATATTGGTCAGGCTGGTCTTGAACTCCTGACCTCAGATGATCCATCCGCCTTGGCCTCCTAAAGTGCTGGGATTATAGGCATTAGCCACCGTGCCCGGCCATTAATTTTTATTTAAGAAGAATGACAGAGTGAGGGCCATCACTGTTAATGAAGTCAGCGTTGCTCACAGCCTCCCCTTGGTCACTTTTTGGGACTAAAGGGCACCCTTGTCATGTCTGTGTTCAGGCAAGATTGTTGGGTGGCTGTGTTTTGTCTTCTTCCAGCTTGGCCATGGAGCAGCCTGGTCACTGGTGCTCTGTGGGGGCTGTTTCTGTTCAGCAGGGAAGGCTCTGCCCTTGCTGTTAGTTCCTGGAGGGCTGCGGATGGCGCCTGCCGTGTTCACGGATGACAGTCTGTGCATTGGGTGGGGCCTCCCGGGACTGGTTCTCCAAGGGCAATGGGATGACAGACAGAAAAACCAAATTCTGCCAAAGTATTTACATAGGTTTATTCTGAGCCAGTAAGAGTGACCATGGCCTGGGAAACACAGTCTTAAGAGGTCCTGAGGAGGTGCACCCAAGGCGGTCAGTAACAGTTTTGGTTTTATACATTTCAGGGAGATGGGAACTGCAGGTAGAATCAGAAATCAGTACATGGGCCAGGCACGGTGGCCCACTCCTGTAATCCCAGCACTTTGAGCTCAGGAGTTCAAGACCACCTGTGGTCCCAGCTACTCGGGGGGCTGAGGCTGGAGGATTGCTTGAGCCCAGGAGGTGGAGGTTGCAGTGAGCCGAGATCTCACCATTGCACTCCAGCCTGGGTGACAGAATGAGACCCCATCTCAAAAAATTCAGTCAATCAATCAATCAATACATAGGTGTGCATTGGTTCAGCCCCAAAAGGTGGGATATCTTGAAGCTTACATTAGGGATTCTTTAGTTGGCAGTTGGATGAAAGAGTTAAGCTTTGCCTGAAAACTCGGACTCAGTAGAAAGGAATGCTTGAGTTAAAATAAGGTCTGCTGTCTGTCGTGTGACGCCATGGCAGAGCCATAATATACCGGCTCAAAAACACCCATTCCACAAGCTTTTGTGGTTTGTAAGCCGTGATTCCCCCACGCTCCTTAGAAAGGAATTTGAGCAAGAAAAGATAAAGGCAGAGTTCAGTCCCCAAACGCGTGGCACAGAGTCTTCACCTCAGATTCGGAACGTTCTCCTCTGGGCTCCAGGCAGGCAGCCCCTGAGGCTGGTGGTGGCTGGGGATGGCTCTGCCCTAGTGGGCTCCACATCTCGGCTTGCCCTGGCCTGTGGGCCCTGCGAGCTGAGCAGGGTCAGCCCTGGGGACATCTCGTGCTACCGTACGCGACCTTGCCCACTGCTGCTGCCTCTCGGTGCCCACGCCCGTCTGTCCTGCAGGTGGAGGAGTGGGGGCCCTTCGATCTCCTGTACGGCGCCACACCTCCCCTGGGCCACACCTGCGACCATCCTCCCAGTGAGTGACGCTTCCGTCCTGACACCCTGTCCCCACCACCCCTGTCTCCTCTCCTCTCTCCCCACCCCTCCACGCCAGGGCAGAAACTGCAAATTGTCAGCATTTTTCAAAAGCAGCTTTATTGAGGCACCACTGACACACAGTGTGTCCAACTGAATGTGTGCAACTTACTGTGTGTCAGTGGCGCCTCGATAAAGGAGGAGGCACTGAGCTAGCTCCACACCCATGCACCCCTCATCATGAGCAACAGAGTAAGTGTCCCCGTCACTTAGGCTTCCCTGTGCCCCCCAAGCCTCCTGCTGACCCCGTGCAGTCCCTAGCGTGCCCGCGTCACTGCAGCTCACGTATCCTCTGGAGCTTCCTCTAAAAGGCGGTATTTGTGCCACGGCACACGCTCTGCGTCCGCGCCTCCCTCGGGGTTGCCTGTCTGTCTCTTCCCAACTCTGGGCCTGCCTGGGGGAGGAGGGGTCCTCGCACCTCTGTGGCCCTGGCACTGGGCAGGGGTCCATTGCTGCTGGAGGAACAGGGTCAGGGGACCCCTGAGACCCAAGCCGGTGCATCCCATAAACCCCCTCGGTGCTGCTCTCATGCCACAGTTTCCTTGGGCCCCTGCCCAGATGCACCTGAACAGCATCCCGCCACTACCAGCCCTGCCCCCTCACCCCCTCCAGGCTGGTACCTGTTCCAGTTCCACCGGCTCCTGCAGTACGCGCGGCCCGGACCAGGCAGCCCCAGACCCTTCTTCTGGATGTTCGTGGACAATCTGGTACTGAACAAAGAAGACCAGGACGTCGCGTCTCGCTTCCTGGAGGTGTGTGCGGGGCCGTGTGGGCCTCCCTCTACCCCTGCCCACGTGAGGGAGGGGCTCTTCGGGTGGCGCTCAGTCTACACCCCAGGCTCCAGGCCTGGAACCCTGCGGTGCCTGGTTTCCAGGTGTGCACCGGGCCCAGGAGAGCTGCTGTGCAGTCCAGGCAGGGCCCGTGGTGCCTGGGACATGAAGCCCCTTTGAGGACAGCCTTGGAGGGCAGTCCCACCTCACACTACTCCTGTGCTCACAGAACACGGCCTTGGGGGCTCACCTCCTGCCGCCGCCCCCTCAGTCTCCACACACACACACACACGTCCACATCACACACACTCACAGGTGAAACACACCACAGTGCACATGTGCACACAGTCACTGTACACATGTGCCACACACAGGGACACACTTACCACACGCAGGCACGCTACATGCACGGACACTCACCACACACACGCACACACAGCCTTCTCTTCACACGTCTGAATCCTGATTGTCAGAGCAGCCACTTTTGGGCTCAGTTGACGGGTCCCCTCTGGGTCTGACGGGCCGGGTCAGGGTGGGGGAGGGACGGCCACACCTCAGCCACAGGAGACAGGCGGGAGAGGTTCGGGAGGGGGAAGTTCCTCATGCTCTCAGGTTCCATGGAGGGGCCACAGCCAGCGGGGGCCCCACCCACCGAGTGGGCAGCACCTGTGGGCTGGAGCCTTTGCTGGGGGTCCAGGCGGGGTCGAGGTTCCCTTGGTGCTGGAATCTCATGGAGTGGCTGGAATGCAAACCCAGCCATTGGGAAGGGGAGCAAATGCCATGAACTGAAAATCACAAGATCTGTGCTTTTAGAACAGGAGACTTTGTTTCTGTAAAGGGACACAGCCTGCAAGGCCCTGTCCCCCAGGCTGGGAAGCACGGCCTCTGCCAAGACCAGAGGAGCCAGGAGGAGGCACTTCGAAGGGGAGGGGTGGCTGGGGCAGGAGCTTCGTGCTGACCGGGTTGGCTAAACCTGTGCAGCAAGTTATTCATGAAGGGGGTCCTGCTGCACGCATACTGAACAAACATGCATGTAACATACCACCTGTGTTCACTCTGGGGTAGAGTCTTAACATGTCAGTGTGTCGCAATGAGGCCCTAAACCTCAGAGGTCTTCTCGGAACACAAAGGCACTCAAGGCGGAGCCTCTGTAAATCGGCCAAAGCCGGTCCATGGTAGGGGGTCCCTTATCAGGAGGAGGTTCCTGAAGTCAGGCTTCTGCCCAGTCAGAGCTGTGGTCAAGTCTGTGGAACGTGGTCAGTTGGCGTCTGTGGGTGGATGAGCTGCAGTCATTTGAATCTTGCTCATTGCCGGGCCAGTGTGTGTTTAGCTGCTGGAGAAAAAGCAGCTGTGGCGTGAGGGCAGAATCCGTTCTCTCAGTGTAGGGTACGTGGCTCGACTCTTGCCTACTGTGGCCTGAGGGCCTGTTTGTAATTTGATATCTTATTGCCACAGAGTCTGTTCTGTCGGTTTAAAATAATTCGTCAGCTTTTTCTCCAAAGGTGATTTATAAGAAAAAGGGACACAGGGAACAGTCGGGCTAGAAAGTCCGTTGATCATTCAGGGCCATTGGCGGCTGAGGCCAGGGGGCCCATGGGGGGTGCTTACCCTTGACCCACGGCCGACCCTCCCACCCCCAGATGGAGCCCACCACCATCCCAGATGTCCGCGGCGGATCCCTACAGAATGCTGTCCGCGTGTGGAGCAACATTCCGGCCATAAGGAGGTATTTCCCGGGCAGCCAAAAGCGTTCAGGGTCAAGGAGGACGTGGACCCAGAGCGGAGTTCACCGAGGAAATGGGGTCTGCCTAGCAGAGCCAAACCCAGAGCAGCCTCTGTGCCCCAGTGGGACTGCGGTCGGCCTCCAGGGCCACTCTGAGACCCTGAAGGCACTGAAGCCCAAGGACGCCCCTTTCCCCTTGGGGACCTTCTCCAGCACTGGCTCTCAGCTTCTCGGGGTCCAGGCCCTGGACACCCATATGCGCCACGGCGCCCTGGCCCTGGACTGGCTACAGCCTCCAGGCTTTCACTCCGTGTGGTCTCTCCACCTCCCTTGCACACCCATAAGCTCATGTGTGCTCACACTCAGCCACACTCACACAACTCACTTGCACGCTCATCCACACACCTGTGTGCACACACGCAGTCATTCCCATGGTCACACTCATCCACACACCTGTGTACTCGTGCACACACACAGAGTCATTCCCACGGCCACGCTCATCCACACGCCTGTGTACTCATGTGCAAACACAGTCATTCCCACTGGCCCTGGACTGCCACAGCCTCCAGGCTTCTACCCGTGTGGTCTCTCCACCTCCCTTGCACACCCATAAGCTCATGTGTGCTCACACTCAGCCACACTCACACAACTCACTTGCACGCTCATCCACACACTCCGTGTGCACACACGCAGTCATTCCCATGGTCACACTCATCCACACACCTGTGTACTCGTGCACACACACAGAGTCATTCCCACGGCCACGCTCATCCACACGCCTGTGTACTCATGTGTGCCAGCCATTCCCACGGTCACACTCATCCACACGCCTGTGTACTCATGTGCAAACACAGTCATTCCCACGGTCACACTCATCCACACGCCTGTGTACTCATGTGCAAACACAGTCATTCCCACGGTCACACTCATCCACACGCCTGTGTACTCATGTGCACACACATAGTCATTCCCAAGGTCATGTTCATCCACATGCCCACATGCACCGTCAGTCACATGCTCACACAAGCACACACACAACTAGCACGTGCATGTCACATGTGCTCACAATCACACAGGCACACACGCATCAGTCTCACACCCACCCACATGCTTGCACACCCCCCCCCCCCATGGTGCACTCCTGGGCTGCCCTCTCCACCTTTTGGGGCCTTGAACACACGGCCCTGCCCCACATGCCCTCTGCGGCTGAGCACCCCCTCCTGCTGCCCCCACGGCCTCTCCCAGCTGCCCCCACCCCTCGACAGCCTTCCAGGCGGCCCAGACCTCACACCCTCCAGCCAACCGCCCGTCCATCCCCTCACTCCCACACTTACCTGGCGTGCCTCGCTCATACGTGCATTCGTGTGGAATGAGCACTTTCTGGCTCAGCTGAGTCATGTCTCCTCCTGCCTGAGAGAGAGTTCTGGAAACTTATTCCCTCTCACCTCTCAGGTTCCCACATTCTCCCATGTCACCACCATGGCACGATCCTGTTGCCTGGCACCTGCCAAGGCGTGGCACCCGCAGGTCCTGCTGGCCTGGCCTCCCCTGGATTTGAGTTTGGGAGGGGCTGAGCTGAAGCACTTTGCCAGATGCTTTCTCTTCAGAAGCCTTCTCACTTGCATGCCGGACTTCCCACAACTTCCCCCTCACCCTAAGCCTGCTCCCCCCATGTCACTTCCTTGGAGGCCATACCAGGCTCTGTGAGGCTGGGTGAGCGGGGCTGAAGGTGGGGGCAGACCCAGCAACACCTGTGTGCATTACAGGCCATGCCTCACCTGCTGCCTGTTCCCGGAGGCTCCTTGGCCCCCAGAGGCTCCATGCGTCCACGCAGCAGCGAAAGAACAGCACGCCAGCAGGGTTCTTATGTGGCAGGTGTAGCCAGACCCAGGATTGCAAGGCTCCTCCACCAAAGGCACCTCCCTCCACTCCAGTGGCCACACCTGTGGCCCCTGCAGGCTTGGGCCATGGGCTGGAGCTGCTTCTTCCCAGGCCCCCTTTCTGAGCGAGGCCCCAGAGCTCCTCACAGGGCTTCCAGGGCTGGATGCACCTGAGCCGTGATCCTGGGGTCACCTGGTTCCCAGAAGGAGGCCGGCAGCTCCTTCCCACGGGTTTCCCTCCGAGGCTCCCGCGTGTCTCAACAGTGACGTGAGACACCCACTCACTGAAAGAGAAATCATTTTGCAGAGGTGGCCACCGTCACCCCCAGGATGGTTAAGGACAGTCCCCACTGCCATAGGGAGGGTGCCCGAGGAGGAGGGGGACACTGTATCTGGCACTTCACTCGCAGCCTTCACCCCGAAAGAAACTGAGAAATGTTCCTGGCCTCCAGTGGGGTGGCTGGGAGCACGAGAGGGGGTGTTGGTGCCAAGTCTGCAAAGCCCATCTTCCCCAAGGGCTCCTCACACCGCAGGCTGGCAGGACCTTTTCCTCTCCCCACCTGCGCTCAGGGCTCAGGCTTCTGGCACAGGCAGCCCCAGGAACCCAGGGGACAGCCTTTGTGATACAATTCCCTGGGAATGGTTGCTGACTCTGCAAGGGTTTGGCTAACTTCTGCCTGGAGTCCTGTCCTTTCCTCTGCGGGGGTGCTGCCCAGGATGGTGACATCCTCTAGTGATGGCCCTGGAGCTCGCTGTTCACACGGAGTCACCCCCAGCCTGCTTCCCAGGGGACCAGCCCCCTGCCGGGGGGAGGCCGGAGGCAGGGGAGTTGTCTCCTGCTGCTCAGTACACCTCCGTGAGAAAAACTCCCAGAATCGGGTGGGGCTTCCAGGGTGTCTTAGGCGCCTGGGACAACTGAGAGGCAGGCTGTTCCTCTCACCCCCTCGAAGCGATTCCTTCCCAGCCCCATCTCCAGGCCTGCCTGGTGGGCACTGCACTTGCTCACAGCCTTCCCTCCCTCCTCTCAGCAGCAGGCAGTGGGCTCTGGTTTCGGAAGAAGAATTGTCCCTGCTGACTCAGAACAAGCAGAGATCGAAGCTCGCGGCCAAGTGGCCCACCAAGCTGGTGAAGAACTGCTTTCTCCCCCTAAAAGAATACTTCAAGTATTTTTCAACCGAACTCACTTCCTCTTTATAAATGAGTCACTATACTGTGAAAAGGAAAAAAAGACTTTTCCTAGAACAAAGGCAGCTTTCTTCACATTGTCTCTTTCCTCTTCGGATTATTATTTTATTGCTCGTCTTCGGTTTTTGCGTCATCACTGCAGACCCACATTCCGTTGGGTTCTGGAGACTCAGGGTCTCTCCCCCCCACCACGCTGGCTCACGGGGCAGAGGCTCCCGCCGCTGTGCACAGGACCACACGTGGTGGTACGCGTTGTACTTCCCGAAAGCATTTCTGTGTTCTAGTTGAGAAGTTCAAGTATATTTATTATAAGATAGTTATTGGTCACATCTGGTGTTTTATGTATAGGCACAGCCACCTGTCATCCTGCAGGGCATGGGGTGGAGGCCAGAAGTGAGCAGGAGGCGTCTTTGGAATGCCTGCACCGTGTCCTGCATGATGCACTTTCTGCCAGGGCCTTCCCCACGAGACTGCTGTTTGCTTTCATAGAGAAAACCACGCACCCTGATTGTAGCTGCACCAAACGGCCTGGACCTTTGCAAAGTACAGGACCTCAGCTTTGGCAGGCAAAGGAGGGACCTGCTGAACACACGGTGCGGAGGCCAAGGCCAGATCCACACACAAAGGATGTCACGTTTGGGTCCTACCCCAGGTGGTATTGATTGCAAAAAGCAGGGCTCCTTCTGGCCCTCTGCAGTTTGAGTCCGCGTGAGGATCAACCCAGCAGAAAGCTCTGCCTCAGGCTGGGCTCAAATCACAGGAAATGAATCCTACAGGGGAACTTTGGGGTCTGCACTGGGGCAGGTAAAATGCTTTGTGGAAGAAAGGTCAAAATGGGGCCTTAGGAAGGTTAAGAATGTGTATCTGGAAGTAAATAGAAGCCTTCACTTCAATTAACATGACTGGATGCCTCTCCCATCTTGGGACAGTCCTGGCTGCCTAGGACACAGGTCTCACATCCAGGGATGAATTTAGCGAGCTCTGTAATGACCCGGGGTTCCTGAAGCCACAGAAGGAGAACAGGTGAGGGCATCCAAGTGCAAATGAGGCCTCTGGGGAGGCCGTGCTGGAGCTGACACGAGCTCTAGCTGAGGCCATCGTGAGCCCAAGAGCATGGGCCAGGCAGGTGGTGAGAGCTCCAGACAGGGCGGGCTGGGCTCAGGCTGCACCCACCCAGGGAGCCAGTGTCACGGGCCCAACATAACTCATGCTCAGTTTCTGTGAGGGTTGCTTCAAAGCAGGGGCCCACGGTGCTGGGAGAGGCCTTCTGCCACCCAAAATGCACTTTCCTTCTTTTGTTCTCTCCCCAACACTCACAACTGTCCACACCACCTTGAGATTCTCTGTGTATTTTAAGTCTTTATGTTTTGAGACAGGGTCTAGCTCGTCTCCCAGGCTGGAGTGCAGTGGCACAACCGTAGCTCACTGCAGCCTCCATCTCCTGGTCTCAAGAGATCCTCCAGCATCAGCGTCTGGAGTAGCTGGGACTACAGGTGCACGCCGCCATGCCCGGCTAATTTTTAAAAATTATTTGTAGAAATGGGGTCTTGCTTTGTTGCCCAGACTGGTCTCAAACTCCTGGGCTCAAGTGATCCTCCCACCTTGGCCTCCCTAAGTATTGGAATTGAAGATGTGAGCCACTGTGCCTGGCCCTCCAGGTATTTTAATTTTACACCGTGCTCAGCCGAACAATAACCCCCAAAAGATGCCCATGCCCCCATTCCCAGATACTGTGAATGTTACCTCATGTGGCAAAGGAAGGACTTTGCTGATGGAATTAAATTGAGGTGGGAGGCCTCCCTGGATCATCCAGGTGGGTTCTACCTGTCATCCCAAAGGTCCTCATAAGAGAGGGGCAAAGTGAGGCTTGACTACACAGAGGAGAAGCCACATGGCCACTGAGGCAGAGACTGGAGCAAAGCACAGGGATGCCTGGGCCACCCGGAGCTGGCATCTGGGATAGGCAGGTCGGATGCTCCCCTAGCGCCTCCACCAGGCAGGCTTCCACCCTCCAGGGCTGAGAGAGAATAGATTGCGGTTGTTTTGAGCCATCAAGTGTGAGGTCATTAGCTCCCAGCGCCCACAGGAAACGAACCTACTGTCATGCACCACATAACAACCTTTGGTCAACAAGCAATGCCACAGTGCTCCCATATCACAATGCAGTATTTTTACTGCACCTGTTCTATGTTTAGATGGCTTTAGATAGACAAATACCAGTGAGTCACAGCTGCCTACGCTGTTCAGCGCAGTCACCTGCCATGTAGGCTTGTGGCCCGGGAGCAGCAGGCTGTGACACCAGAGTCGGTGTGTGCACTCTGTGTTCACACAAGGACAAAATCACCTAAGGACGCATTTCTCAGAAGGAATGTATCCTTTTGATACATATGACTGTATCAAACGTATGAACATATGACTGTACACCCGAAGAGAAAAGATCTTCCTCGGACCAAGAGTGGAGCTCTCAGCATCAGCCGATGCCCATGCTGTCAAACGCAGGTTGCTGTGCCAGACCCCAAAGGGACCGGGGCCTGGAGGTGCATCAAGGCAGAGATCAGAAGATCCCCTCGGCCTGGGGCTAGGGGCATCGGGCAGCTGCTTCCTGCTTAAGCACTATGACTTGTACCCGGAGCCTCAAACCCCAGGCTGCACAAATACGATTCCTGCTTGGTTCCCAGTTGGCCCTGGACACTGTCAAGGGGCCTTCTCTCCACACCCCTAGAACGCCCAAAGCGTATCCTGCCGGTCCAAGAAACAGTCACGGTTGAGGGGGAAAATGAAAACCTTCCTTTGACTACGGGAAACTTCCCAAGGGTTCTTCTGTTTCTTCATCCAAACTCCTCTGAGTGTCGTGACCCATGTGCCCGTGTGCTGTGTGTGTTCACTCACAACCACCCCGCATTCACGTATATGTTACAGGTCAGGGGATGCGGGCACCAAGGGGCTAAGGAACTTGCTGAGGTCACACAGCTCCGGGGCTGGGATCTGAACCAGCCACCGCTTACCGTTGTCTCCCTTTGTCTCCAAGGTTCCTGGGCTGGTCCTGGCGCCCTCCCCCGCGGCCACCCCTTCTGGCCCAGATGCATTCCTGCCCCCTGCCTGGCTGTGCCCTCCACGCGGAGTCCCCTCTCTCGGGGGACCTGCCCGCAGCACTTGGCTTGCTGGGGTCTCTGGCGTCTGCCCGGGAAGCAGAGCCTGGACCTGCCCTCTCGGCCACAGCACGGCGGGCCCTGCGTTGTCGGCCCCTCTCCCACCGTCCCCGGGCGGCACTGGGGGGCTGCGGGGTCTGGACCCACCGACGGGGCACCTACCCTTCGCCGCCGCGGATGACCGGCCGCGCTCTTGGGAGACCTTAATTTGGGAAGCTCTGCTTCTCCAGGACCCATTCCCATCCTCCCACAGCCTCCACGCGGTATCCGGGGGCCGTTCCCCTCCCCGCAATCCGGCGGGATTCAGGTGCGTCCGGCCCGGGGGTGCAGCGCTTGGCCCGGCGTCAGCTAATCAGCGCGGCGCCGCCCCGGAGCTCAGCCGCGGGTCCAGAGGCGCACGGAGCCCGGCCGGTCAATCAGGGAGGGCCTCCGGAAGGAGGTGGCGCTGCCCGCAGCCCGCCCGCCCGGCTCACCTGCGCCCTCCTCACCTGCCGGGCGATGCGGTCCCTACCAGCAGCCGCCCGCCCGGGGGAGAGGAACCTCAGCCCCCAACATCGCGACCCCTCCAGCCTCGCCGGTCCTAGCAGGCGTCCCTGAGCGCGTTCCGGGAAGCGCACGTCCACGCAGGCGCTGGACCGGGTTTTCTGGCTCCAGGGACGGGACTCGTCCTAAAGAGTCCGGCTCAGATGGGATTACGCGCCCCACCTCACCCGTGTGCTGAAAGTCGGTGCCTCCACCCTGCGCGCCGCGGGCCCTGCCCAGCTCTTCCCGCCGGAGGGCAGGTGGCCCCCGTCCCGCCCCTGCCAGGCGCACGATTTTAAATCCCCCCAACCCCCATCTCTCAGCTTGACCTGGGAGGGGGAAGCCGCCCGGCTTCAGGGCTTCCTGCGCCCTCGCCGCCGCACCACCTGCCCTCCCGCCGCCCTCCCTGCTCTTCCCCGCCGCAGTCCCCCTACCCCCCCAGTCCGTCTCTTCCGCCTTCTTATTTTGTGCCTGGGCTCTCTGCTCCGCAAAAATGTTGACTTCCACGGGCAGAGGTTTCAGAATTTTTTTAAAAGCTTTTGTCCACGGCGTTCTCTACATCTCGGTTGAAGGAATGGCAGCCTGCGGGGTGCCGTCTGTGGCCCCCGTCTCCGGGCGCTTCTCACCTCCTCCGCGCGCAGGAGGCAGTGGGGATCCGAGCCTCAGACCAGAAGCGGGGGCTCCGGGAGGAGGGTGCCCCGCTGCCCTGTCCAGCAGCCTCACCTAGGCCCTTCCGGGGCTGCCTCTGCAGAAAGGGAGTGACGTCCCCTCTGGGCCCCACCTGGCTTGCGGGGATCAGGGAGGGAGGGCGGGGTGGGCTGGGCGCGGTGGGAAGGGAGCAGAGGCCCTGGGTCCAACCCTCGGTTGCGTGGCGCAGCCTTTCCCAGACCAGCTGCCCCAGACTCCAGGTCAGACGCCTCTGCCAAGGCTGACCAGGCCTGGGCCGCAAGGCTGCCTCAGTTTCTCGGCGGGGACTCCTCAGGGCCAGTGTTACGCAATAGGCTGCGCCAGTGCCCTTCAGACCCCTCGAAGGCTAGGGGAGCTAGGCCAGGTCAGGGAGGGCTAGGGCTAGCCCAGAGGGTAGAGCCCGCCCACTTTCCCTCCCTTCTTCCATTCATGCATTCATTCCTTCAATCATTCATTCCTCAGCAGTCGCTGAGCTCACTCGCCTAAGTCCTGGAGATCATCCGAGCAGATCATCCGAGCGGAGCAGGCCAGGGGCCCGGCGCTCTCCCAGCGTGGGGGCCTGGGTCCCCAGACTCCTCCTTCGGGAGGGCCGCAGGACCCGCGCAATCTGCTGCCGCGCGGGGAACGGCCCTTGCCTCCCACGGTCCCCTCCCCCGCCACCGGCCCCCGCAGCACCCCTGGCCACCTTCCTCCCGGGTACCCCCCACCCCTGC